CTAGCCCCTAGCCACCGCTACCGCTGCCTCCGCCGGTGACGCCGTGCTGCTCGACGAGCCTGCCAACACCTACTCCATAGTGCTGTACCTTCAAGGTTAGCAGCCATGGCGATGTTGATGTCGAGGTACGGACGGTGGCGGCGCGTCTCCGAAGTGGCCACTGGTGAGGCTACTACCGTGCTCGCTGGATCCGTGATCCGACTCCGATCTCCGGTGAGCTAGTACGCGAACTGGTGGATGAACCGGTGTATGCTTGGGCGTTCTGGTGCATGAAGAAGCAGAATGTGCTGGTGTGGGCGGAGCGGACGATGCACTGCACGCTACACCTATACGCCGCTGTCTTCCCGCCTCCGTCCCGTGCATGTGCCGGCCCCCGAGCTCCCAGTGGGGGGGCGTCTGGGAGGGGCCTGGCACCCCCCAACCTTCCCGTGTCCCCATAATACACTTCCTTAAATTAGCTCGTTAATCTTTCAATTAGTTCTAATTAGCTAGTTAATGATGCTAATTAGTTCTTTAATTGCTTGTTCTCGCTTTGTGTTTCTCTAATGACATCTATATAATTCTCAATCTCTTTATTCCGGTGTGATTTTTGTACCCAAATGTTCTGGCCAGTCCTCATGGTACAACACTAATTAGTTAGTTAATGAATGAAATTAGCGCTTTGCTTGTTTGCGCTCCACCGTATTGATCTTTAATGTCATCTATATTATTTAAGATTAGTTTTCATGTTATCTTTCTCGTCTTCTTTACCATGATTTTTTTTTCAGGCCTAAAAATTAGATTGATCAACAAGAGGCTAGAGATTAGTCCAATTAAATTTTGTTCTCTTTTACTCTGTATGATGGTTGCTGATTTGAATGCCATGTTCAAATCCTGGCTCCGCCCCTGCTCCCAGAGGTGCCCTACGACGGTTGCACATTGGCTCCCCCAGGATCCCAAGCTCCCCCACCGCCATCAGATCTCAGCAGGACGATGGCGGCGCAGCCGGTTGCCGTCGGCACAGCGGCGGCATGGGCGGCAGTGGTCCGGGTGTTCCCAGCCCCGGGGAGAAGAAAACAGAGTGAGAACGGGCTTAGATTGAGACAGATGGGATACAAAGTCTCAGTTTTGCCCTTGAATGAAAATACGGAAATTACACAAATTACCTTTTATCTGAAAAAATAAATAATAAATAGAGAAAACTCCAAAACTGATCACCTATTTTGGTGCTGATCCCATCTATTTTTTGTACCGTCTCTATCTATTTGGTACTTCTAAGTACTTTTAGATGAGTACCTCCTATTTTTATACCGTCCGATCTTGGTCTATGGATAGTTTATACTTTTTCTAACCATTGTAAAATTTCTCGCAAATAAATCTTAGGGCCTGTTTGATCATTGGACTAAAGTTTAGTCCTTCGTTGGATAATAGGCAAAACATGAATTAGTTATTTTTTTAATATAACTTCTACTCATCAATTAGCCTCTATTATATTAGTTTTTGTTAAACCTTAATTAGTTCATGTTTAGCTATTCTATTTGGCATCGAAAAACATGAACAAAAGTTTAATTTAGTCTATTCAAGCACCCCTAATGTAACAGCAACTTATAGCGTCGGCTTAGAACCGTTGCAGGTTGTAGTCAAGTTGTTAACTTTTTTTCTAGTTTATCCTTGGGGTAGCTGCTACGGACCGTAAGGCTCTCTACAACAAAAGTACACATAGTACAAGGAGACAGAGAAGGTAATTTTTTTTTAGATAATGGAACAAAGCCTCTACTATCCGCACAGATGATACACAACTCAGCACAGAGAAGGTAATGTCGCTGGCGCTGCATCCGGTCAGGAGTTACCGCCGCCGCAGCGGACGAATCCGACGGTGTGACATCCCAGCCACACTACGCGGCTGCGTTCCTCCAGTTGAAGAGGTTGCGTTCCTCCACCAGGCCCGCGGTCGCCGCCGCGAAGGCCTTCGCCTCAGCGGGAGCCTGGAGAAGAAACCCGCAGCGTAGGGGAAGTAGACCATCGACAGCTCAAAATCAGACAGGTATGCCTGGGCGCCCCGACCTCCGCCTCCTCTGCCCGCCCGCATGCTTTGATGGGATGGTGATGAAACAATTTGCCATTCATTTATGCATTACAAGGCACAATGACTAAGAATCTTCTAAGAATTTTTGCTCTGTTATTCAGTTCACAGCAGGTTGACAGTAACAGTGCAGTGCAGGTGCAGCTTGGATTGGGGGCTTGGTTATTCATGGTGCAGCAACAACTTGAGGTCGACAGCAGCAGCAGGTGAGCGGTGACAGTAGCTTGCACGTCTTGGCTGGTTTGTTCTCTGAATTCTCAGTTTGGTTCAAAGCAACTCAGCTTGGATTCATGTTGTTCAATACTGTCTGTGGACAATCACTGTGTTCGTTCTGAAACTGCAGTTCAGTTTTAACTGTCACACAAGTTCTCTTGTCCACTGATTTTTGACTGTAGCATGTTCAGTTTTCTTGTCTGAACTGTTGCTCGAGTTTTCTAGTTATGCGTCGTGTTTAGTTCAGAGCAACAGCAGCCTACTATTGTCAGATCAACAACAGTTTGTTCTGCTCAACTGAAGTAGCTAGTATTTTGTTGTGATCTGAATTCTTGGACAGCTTTGTGTTCTTTTGCGACTGTGTTTGTGCTTCCATTATCATCTGTTCAGTGTAACTTCAGACGACAACATTGGTTCGAAGCAACCCAGCTTGGATTCATTCTGTTCAATACTGTCTGTGGAAAATCACTGTGTTCGTTCTGAAAGTGCAGTTCAGTTTGAACTGTCACTCAAGTTCTCTTGTCCACTGATTTTGACTGTAGCATGTTCAGTTTTCTTGTCTGAACTGTTGCTCGAATTTTCTAGTCATCCGTCATGTTTAGTTCTGAGCAGTAGCAGCCTACTATTGTCAGATCAACAACAGTTTGTTCTGCTCAACTGAAGTAGCTAGTATTTTGTTGTGATCTGAATTCTTGGATAGCTTTGTGTTCTTTTGCGACTGTGTTTGTGCTTCGATTATCATCTGTTCAGTGTAACTTCAGACTGACAACAGCAGCGGCTGGTATCCATCTCCTCTTCCTCAGGTAAGCAGCAACATTATCAGTTGTCACATAAGTGATGGGACTAATCTACAAAAGGTTTCATGTACTGTTAACTAGAGTAGTACCCATTGCATTATCCACTGTGTACTGATGAGATTCTTGAATGGAATATGGCAACTCATGGGAAATTTTTGTCATCCAAAACGGTAGATCTATATAATTGTCCCTGGTTTCCTACTGCTGTGGGCAAGAGAAAGTAATTGTTTCCTACTGGCCTGCTGAATTAATCAGGTTAACATTGATCTGGATAATCCAACAACTTTGATGGTACATTGCAAGTAGTAAGCGAGCACCAATGTCGTCATATATATATATATATATATATATATATATATATATATATATATATATATATATATATATATATATATATATATATATATATATATATATATATATATATATATATATATATATATATATATATATATATATATATATAACGCAGTATACCACGAAATTTCTGCAACAAACCTCATCAGTCATCACTAGGGGCGACTGGAATGACAAAACTTTTGTGCCTTACTGCCCTGGTCTTCCCCATTATCCTTTTCCTCACAACATCCGCCGCCGGCAGCGCGTCTGACACTCTCGACAGCAGCAACAACATCACCGACGGTGCAACGCTGGTCTCGGCCGGCGGGTCCTTCACCCTTGGTTTCTTCTCCCCGACCGGGGTGCCAACCAAGAGATACCTCGGGATCTGGTTCACCGCGTCGCCGGAGGCCATCTGTTGGGTGGCCAACCGTGAAACGTTCCTCAGCAACACCTCAGGAGTTGGAGTACTGGTCATCGGCAGCACCGGGAGCCTTCGCCTTCTCGACGGTTCTGGCCGCACAGCATGGTCTGCCAACACGACGAGTTCTTCTGCTCCTGTCCTGGCGCAGGCGCGGCTGCTTGAGTCTGGCAACCTAGTGGTGCAAGACCAGAGCGGCGGCGACGTGCTTTGGCAGTCATTCGACCACCCGTCGAACACCTTGCTCGCCGGCATGAGATTCGGTAAGGACCCGCAGACTGGCGCCGAGTGGTTCCTCACGTCGTGGCGTGCGTCGAACGACCCGACGCCGGGGGGCTACCGTCGCGTGCTGGACACCAGGGGCCTCCTGGACTCCGTCTCGTGGAAAGGCAACGCCAAGAAGTACCGAACGGGCCCCTGGAACGGGCTGTGGTTCAGTGGCATCCCGGAGACGGCGTCGTACAAGGAGATGTACTCCGCCCAGGTCGTCGTCCGGCCCGACGAGATTGCATACATCTTCAACGCCGCGGCCGGCGCGCCCTTCTGCCGCCTTGTACTGAATGAGGTCGGCGTGGTGCAGCAGCTGGGGTGGGACCCGGTCAGCCGGGTGTGGAACGTCTTCACGCAGGCGCCGAGGGACGTCTGCGACGACTACGCCAAGTGCGGCGCGTTCGGCCTGTGCAACGTGAACACGGCGTCCACGCTGTTCTGCGGCTGCGTCGTGGGGTTCAGCCCCGTGAACCCTTCGCAGTGGTCCATGAGGGAGACCCGTGGCGGATGCCGGAGGAACGTGCCGCTGGAGTGTGGCAACAGGACGACGACGGACGGGTTCAAGACGGTGCGGGCGGTGAAGCTCCCCGACACGTACAACGCTACGATGGACATGGGCGCGACGCTGGAGCAGTGCAGGGCGAGGTGTCTCGCCAACTGCTCGTGCGTGGCCTATGCCGCCGCCGACATCCGAGGAGGCGGTGATGGCACTGGCTGCGTCATGTGGAAGGATAACATTGTTGATGTCCGGTACGTAGACAAGGGGCAGGATCTCTACCTGAGGTTGGCCAAGTCTGAATTAGGTAAGCACAGCTACATCTCCCAGAGTCCCAGTGTGAACCATGAGCAAGTTTCATCATCCATATATTCCCATGGTGCAACATGCATGTTTCTGCAGTTGAGAAGAAGAAGAGGAATGTGGTACTAATAATCTTGCCACCAGTTACGGCATGTCTGCTTGCGCTCATGGGGATGTTCCTTGTTTGGATATGGCGCAAGCGCAAGCTTAGAGGTAAAACCAGAGTCACTTCACTACTCGGAAGTCAATGATGATTCGTACTGAACAACAACATTAAAATTTCTGTTAGGCAAACGTCGAAACATGGATATACAGAAGAAGATGATGGCTGGGCACTTGGATGAGACAAATACACTTGGTGATGAAAATCTCGACCTTCCATTTTTTAGCTTTGGAGATATTGTTTCTGCAACAAATAATTTTGCTGAAGACAATCTGCTCGGACAAGGAGGCTTCGGGAAAGTTTATAAGGTAATAAAAATAAATCCTTTAAACCATGACAGCCAGCATGGAAATTATAAGATTGCTTGTTCAATTTAATGATGGTGAGATCAGGGTATTGTGGGCGAAAACAGAGAGGTTGCAATCAAAAGGCTCAGTCAGGGCTCTGGACAAGGCATAGAGGAATTTAGAAATGAAGTAGTTCTAATTGCCAAATTGCAGCACAGAAACCTTGTTAGGCTCCTTGGTTGCTGCATTCATGGAGATGAGAAGTTGCTAATTTACGAATATTTACCAAACAAAAGCTTGGATTGCTTCATTTTCGGTATGTATAAACTAGTTGTATTTTATACAGAGGAAAAGAAGAAGGTAGTCATAGTTACTACTCTAATTTGCTTGCTTACTTTACTTATAATACCGTATATAGATGCTGCAAGGAAAAAAGTTCTTGATTGGCCAACAAGGTTCAGGATAATCAAAGGAATATCAAGGGGAGTTCTTTATCTGCACGAGGATTCAAGATTGACAATTGTGCACCGAGATCTCAAAACAAGCAACATATTGTTGGATGCAGATATGAACCCTAAGATATCAGATTTTGGTATGGCAAGAATCTTTGGAGGGAACCAACAAGAAGCAAATACTAACACAGTTGTTGGGACATAGTGAGTAATCATCCATGCCTCTATGTTTTCTCATTTTCCTATACCTATCCAATTTTTTTACATAAATACTGCTAATTATTTTTAAGCAGTGGTTACATGTCTCCTGAATATGCAATGGATGGAGCTTTTTCTGTCATGTCTGATACATATAGCCTTGGTGTTATACTGTTGGAGATCATAAGTGGTCTGAAGATCACTTCGACTCACTCCACGAGCTTTCGTAACCTATTAGCTTATGTAAGTATAATGGCATTCTTCAAATTTTACAAATTCAAACAAAACATGCCGATATTCTATGAATTTTTCTTGAATTGGTCCAGGCATGGAGCTTATGGAATGATGGCAAGGCAGTGGATTTGGTGGACTCATCCCTTGTCGAGAGTTGTTTACCGAATGAAGCTTTGAGGTGCATCCACATAGGACTCTTGTGTGTGCAAGACAATCCAAATAGTAGGCCACTTATGTCAACGGTTGTGTTCATGTTGGAGAATGAAACCACATTACTTTCAACCCCAAAACAGCCCCTATACATCTCACAATGGTATTTAGAAGCCCAAGGAACAGGAGAAAATACAACAGTTCCATGATGGATAGCATAAGTGTCTCAGTGTTGGAAGGATGATAATGGTAAGTGATTAGGTTACATGTGTTTCATTGGAGTCAATTGCATCGTTGTGATGACAAGAAAGAATGTATCATCTTTGCTTGCTGCACATTGGAGTCCGCGGCAATGGCCTTCTTCACCTTACATGGGTGGCCTTATGTCTTTTGGCGGCTTACAAACTAAGTTTTATTTGGCGTGTGAGACTCTTTCATTTTAAGCTTTTGTGTCCTGTAATATTTTTGGTCTGATTCCCCAATTGTGGGGATGAAGCAGTATGTTCTTCCATTATCTAAAAAAAATAGTATATTGGGACAAGAGATGGAGTACAACTAGTACTAGGTTGCTTCCTTTGTCTCCAAATAAATCAATTTCTTGAGTTATCCTAAGTCAAATTGTTTTAAGTTTGTTCGAATTTATAGGAAAGAACACTAAGATTTATGGTACAAATTAATATAATTGTAAGATTATTTGAAATATATTTTCATAATGTGTTCATTTGGTGTCATAAATATTATTGTATTTTTCTATAAGTTTAGACAAATTTGAAAAAAATTGACTTAAGACACTTTAAGAATTGATTTATTTAGGGACTGGAGGAGTATATATTTTTAGAACAGTCATTACATGGTTTTAGGACACCTTAGCTCGTTGTTGTATGGAATAATGGAAATGGCACAAGACGACGCCTTGTGAAACTCTTGTGTGCCACCGCCGGGTCTCCGACGCTGGCCCCTTGGTCTCTCGCTCTGGGCCGCTGGGCTAGGCCGAAAACACTCGAAGAGGGTCCAATAAGTCCAACAGACTCGTCTTTTTTTTTTCCTTCTCGAATACGCAGAACGACAAATCTTGCTGGCGCCGGCGCACGCGGCACGCTTGCTGCTCAGCTTCATGCAATCGTGCTTGATCGTGTAAAGGGTCTATAGATGGCCTAACGCCTCACTCAAAAAAGCACAACCCAGGTCTGGTCTGGTACTAAGCTCATTGTGCCTATGCCTACGCCTGCTATGACACGGTCATAGTCCCATGTCTAGGCCGTGTTCTCGGCCCACAGTGACGACACGGCAATAATGACACCGCTAAATAGGTTGGGACCATACGTAATGGCAGAGTTAGAGCGTCCCGTCCGCTTGGAAGCTGGCTCCCTGCACCTGCGGACCAGCCCGGCATGCTCCCTCATGGTTCATCTAAAAATAACGATGGTAATTTTCTTCCTCCTTGCCTTGTCGCTCACTGCGCCACGATGTACGCACCGTCCACCGAGCCCCGCCCCTCTCCACGTTGCTCCCCGACGCCGTACTCTCCGCCTCCCCCCGCACCCTCCTCCATCCTCTATCTCCACCGCATCCGAGCGCCGGCGGGCGCCTTCCTCCCTCTGCACCGCGCTCACCGAGCGCTTCATGGCCGTAGGCGCCGGCCGCCGCGTGTGCCCAAGCGGCCAGGAGAGGGGCCTTCGCTGGCCAAGAGTAGGCGTAGCTAGACGCTGCCAGGTCGCGCCACCATCCTCAGCCGTCGGCTGGCCAGAACCAACTGTTCCCCGGTCTTCTTTGCGTCGTCCGAAAGAAGAAGGGCGAACAACGCATGTTTTGATAGTATGTTTCAAGTGTTTCAGATGTTCCATAGGTATGTTGCAAGTGTTTTGTATGGATGTTGCATAAGTAGATCGGGATGTTGCATATTTGCAATGGTTGTACATGTATGTTGCAAGCTTTTGTTTCCAATGTTTCATCTATTTTTTCAGACGCATGTTGCAAGTGTGTTTATCAAGATGTTGCATATGTTTCACACATATGTTGCAATCTGGATGTTGCATATGTTTTGCATGTTGCTTGAGTGCATATGGAGTTTGTCACTATTTTCGTCCGTTCCATTTGTTGTATTTCCATCTGCAAGTTTGAACATAGTATAAATAAATTGTTATTAATTATAACACATATGGCTTTTAAAGTGACACTCAACAACACCACCATACCTGTTGAATGAACAGTCTCATTGTTATGGGAATCAACACGACCTTGGTTATTCATCTTATACTTCTCAAGGCGTTTCTTGTTTCTTTCACTCCTCTTTTCATCAGACATTGTTGCATACCATTCTCTATCCCTCTGCCTCTTCTACTCATTAGGTCGCGTATGATTCCCTTCAATAAATTTTCGTGAGTTGCAAACATATGATCATAGAATATGTAGAGATATTTTAAAAGTTTATTTATCTCCATGTGTCGTATTTGTAAGGTCCCCAAAGGTACACGATCACCGGTTGGCCTTGGCATGTCCATAACACTACCTGTCACTTTTAGCAATGTTGTGCCTGTGAAATAATATGCCCAATAAATCTCATTATTGCCAAAAAAAGAGTTAAATAGGTCAATAATATGCAACTTGAACGAACTGAATAACACTACGAATAAAGATAGAGTATGCACAATGGAAAAGATGGTCATGAACTATATGCAACAATATGCTATTCTCCCTCTTATCTCACTCCAACTGCCAACTATACGCTATTTGTTTAGTTCAGATGTAACAGCTATGGTATTTTTTCAGACCACTTTCAGTTAACTCAATTAGAAAGCCTTGCCTTGCTTTCTGTAGGCAACATCTATGGTGTACTGATTTAGTGATGCTATAACTTCCAATTTGTCAAGATGAGCCTCACTTAAGAAAACAGAGACCAAAAGAAAATTGGGGAAAAAAATCTGAAATCCTGAAAGAGTATCATGAGTACACAAATTGCAGTGCTCTATCTAATCTTCTAACCATGGTAACAGCAGCACAACCACCAGCAAGGAACCCTAAAGCATCCAGTATCATCGGCAAGGCTTGAGAAGGAAGCTGTAAAAATGGTATTCAAGTTTTGCTCAGTCGCTCCGTTGGGTAAAGAGACATATTGTAATTGGAGCATAGAAAATTTCTTAATAGCAGTCTACACAATAATTGCTCATTTGTTCATCTAATGGGATAGCTCTGCAACTTACCTAGCACAATATATAAAAAAACAGCACAGAGATTTACACTTTTTGTGGCTCATAATAGCACATAAGTATGGTTCAATGAGGCTGACAAAACTGAAAGAATGGTAAATTGAGAATCGGTACCTTTATCTGAAATCTGCAAAAAGATCTACAAATGATACAGTGCGCTACCTGAAGAAGCAAAGACACCCATATAAAACCTTATCAATGCTCTATATCCTAATCTAAAGAACAAACTAAATATACAGAGAAAAAATAAAAAGGAGCTGCTACTAATCAAACTGAATACTGGATAAACTGTGCGTGAGCATGTTCAAATTGATAAGTTCTATAGGCTTCTGTTCTTCTGTTTCCATAGAGTAAACAAATACATGATTTGAAGCCTATCATCATTTTTATAATTGGAGAAAGGTCTATTGCAGTAGGAGACAGGAAGGAACTGACTTAGGGCAGTCCCAATGAAAGAAACTAGTACTTTCTATAACATAGGATACCGCATCAAAAAAGTATTGTTTTCCAACCCATGGTTTCTATGAGTAATAATTATTTTCTCTTTCTCTCTCCCAACTCTATCTTCTTCCTCCAATGTGAGTGCGACACGAGCTCCCTAGAAACTGGTGGTTTCTCCCCAATGGTGATTTCATGGTTTCTTGGTGCATTGGGTCAAGAGTAGACCTGATTTCTTCATGAGGAAATCATTTCTATGATTTTTGCTCTCTTTCTTCATTAATTACGTTGCCATGTCAGCGTTTTGCCTACGTGGCAAGTCATTTAATGAGGATAGAAACCATCATCAATACACCATTGGGACTGCCCTTATGAAACATCACAAATTAATGGAAGGACCATTACCTCCAGGAGCACAGGGTAGGATCACAAAAATCATTCTAGCATTAATCATCACACATGCACCCCTGCAATAGATGAAGACTGATTTGACTAAATTAAATTTGCTAGCATCAAATGAAAAGCAATCACAAGAAGCATATCATTTTTTATCACAACCTAATGGTACCTAAGGTAATATACTCAGCCAAATTGACTCTAGAGAAAGTTCTACAAAATATATCAACACTCTTGCAGAC